ACAGCCACGCAAGTTAATCCCAGTTTTCAAGAAAAAAGTTTGCCGTACCAAACTTGGTAAACAATTGTACAACGGAAGTACAAGTGATTCGAGTGTTGGGTCAGACACTGAGAGTGCTACCAAATCCGACTTCAGGCATCGCTACGCATTGTCAGTGAGACGTGACTTCAGGCATCGCTACACATTGTCGGTGAAACGTCGAATCATCGTATTTATTTGACTTTTGTTATTCCCATAACAGTATTTTTACAGAATAAATTAATTGCAATGATACATCATTAATAATTACTTGTCTGTTTTGGTTGTGTGTGTGTTTGCCTATCCTCTTCCCTATTTCACAATGAAAAAGTTTGATGACCCTGGTTTAAGAGCCACTGGCTACAAAGTTGTCAACATGTTACCTCAAATAAGCACCACCCAGAAATGAAAGTGTTACAAAGTGGCTCTTATTTGAGGGTTTTTACGGTATTATGAAGTAATCTCCCGTGCTCATCATGCAAACCCGCATGTTGACGTTTATGACGACACAAAATGACTATTTATTTTCATCGAAATTTCTGAATTAAAGTGAAAAAGTAACTAAAGTAACTTTCGGTCTTGTAACTCGATCTCAATGCTAAGAATGCCCGGTAAGAATGTTACACAAATTATAGTATTTTTCGATCGATTCGCTAACATTGTCTCACCTTCCATTAGCTGTGGAATAATAGCCCTATGTTGCCGACCGCATTATTTACGTGACAGACACTGGCCAGCCCATGTTCGACATACAACAACAAAAATAAAAACAAGACGTCCGAATGAAATTGGTAGGGCAAAATTAGATTGTATGTCGCACCAAAGCGCTACGGAACCACAGCTAACCTTCCATTATTTCTGAAATCGTGCTGCAGTACGATCAACTTTCCGTTTCTTGGTGCTGTCAGGGTTAGGACACCCATATGTTTCTGGTTCTGAACACGATTTAGCGGTTTCTCAATCTCGTCGTGAAAAATACTCGTCGAGCAGTTGTCTGCTCCTTTTTGACGTAGTCTCCATTTTCAATAAATAAACAAATCACGTGTTTGATAAGGGCGACATGAAATCGTTCCATACTGAGAGTAATGTCGCGGGGTATCTTGAAACACACGTCGACTAAACTACGCATGTGCGATGACACCAAAATAACTTTAGAGTGGAAAAATACATTCAGTGGCAGTTCCGTGTTGATCGCAATCACCATGTAACAATTGTTGCAATCTTAGAAGTAACGGGACATTGTTTAACTTTAAAATGGCAATCACTCAAACCGTAACACGCGTGATGATCACAGTCGAGTCTTGACAATTAAATAAGGGCGATTTGCGAAGGTATTTTGTACAGAATGTGTTTGTAAATCCTACTAATAGATATTTTTTTGTTCGTAAATCTTGTCCAAATTTTGTAATTTTCGACATTTGCGAGTGACAGCGAGAGCACAGAATTATATCATGTGATTGGTTCAACTACACATTGTTTGCTTACAAATCATTCACTGTAAGAGAAATATTGACTGGTTTGAATTTTAGCTCATTTGATGTTGCAGAAATATTCGCTAGGTTATGAAGTAAACAATACTATTGAGGGTACTGCCCATTTTCTGCCAATGTTCAGCTATAAGTAAAATAAGTGAAAATAAAAGCCCATAATAGAAATTAGTGGATTAGCATACAATTGTATTAAGTGTGTTACACAGAATCCAGATGAGTGTCTTCCGCACAAACTCATTCATATTTATTTCTCTCATTAGAACTTCCAAATCAGCCTGTCAGTTGGTGCAAAGTAGAGGCATTTATAAACAAACCAGATTTTGTTTGTGTTGTAAAAGATAAACAACCACCTCCATTGGTTGTCATGACTATTAATTTAAGAACTTTACTGAATCCCAAAACACACCAACACGAGGTAGGTGCATGTTGTGTGCAGTACTAATGTATGATGTATTGAATTGCCATTTTTTACCTTGCCAGTAACATCAAAGATGAAAGGGAATGGTATATTAAGGAAAAGATTTTTGTCCGGCGGTGGCATCGTTGTCGTCGTCATTGTCGTCGTTAATAATTGTTATTGTATGCACAATAACTTTACTAATTCTATTCCAAACTTTATCAAACTTGGTCACCTCATTCATCAGTATAAAGTCTTCCCTGAGTATGAATGACAAATGTCCTGTATGAAAATATCATGCAAAAATTGAGAAAATCTGATAAAATATTTTGACTGTTTCTACTTGATTGATCACTGGTGATACACATTCAAAGGTCACTAATCTCAGTGGAAATATGCATTGTTGTCTGTGTTCAATGAAGCAAATCATTTATCTTGTAATAATATCCTTGGTAATGTATCTCCCAAATCCCATGGGAATACTATACTGGGTTTCAAAACCAACTCATGGAGAGAGTTTTTGCACAGTCTGATACACATTTGCAAACCTAAAATCTTTACAGAAAACAAGATGTCCGAAAATCAATATAAGCACGACTATGAATTGGGTGCCAAACTTTGAACAAGATCTGAAGCTAATAGAAAGTCTGTTTAGTCAAAAGTTATCAAATCAAAAACAATACATAAAAAATACATAAAAAGCAAAATTGTACTCAAAAATAGGTACTGGTATTCTGTATTTGACAAACAGTTCATTCGACAAATGAAAAATTACAGGAATTTGTTTCAGCTATTAGAACAGAATGATAGAGCTAATATAATACTAATTTAAAAACGCACTTAAAAACAAAGATTGCAGTGTTTGAAGATGTAGATTCTCAGGAGGCAAAAGTACTGTTGTCTTCTCTCTTTGCTGGACACAAACTATTTAAGTTGATTTGCATTACAAAGCAGAGCTTGCAACATGATGTTTTTTTTTTACTTTTCAAATAATTCAGTAGTCACACAATGAATAAAATAAAGCAGTTCATATTTGTCATAGTGAATCATTCAGTTTGGACGGATACCTGTACAAAATACTTGGGCCAGCTAAGATTTTGTTATCTTGCATGTTTTATGAATCTATTCATGTCTAAATGCAGCACTTCTTTTCTGAGATGCAGCATTTGTTTTTATAATAAAAAATCTGAATTACTTTGAATAAAGCTGGAAATTATGTCCCTGAAAATAATTAAACAAATTAGGCACCAATGTTTTTACATCTATCAAGGACATTCGGTAAACTGCTTTCCCAATGTTGTTTGTATTCAAAATTAATTATGACAAGAATATTCATATTGAAACAAAATATGATAAAGGGAATAATATTATATAACAAAGGA